CGTTCTAAATATGTAATCGGTCGGTAGTAAGAAGAAAACCTGATCATATTTGGTACGGAAAAAATAAGCAAAAAAAGTACATTGTAAATTCAAATTAAATTATTTCAGTTGCAATATCGACGTGTAGATTTGCGATATTGCTGTTGGCGATATTTTTGTCCTCTGAACCAATTCACGTATATCGCTTCCGGTTATGACTTACGCCCCGTCCTGCGTATATTTTGCAAAGTACTGCCCTGAGCGGGCGCAGTTTCAGAGACGACCATTAATCTAAACCGCTATTGTTTTGCAAAACTACACTCGCATTGTTCCACGGATCGCTTCTTGTTTTATTTATGTTTTTATTGAACGTACATCCCGATGGGGGAATCGGTCGTATTGTATATAGATTTTTCATTTCGCTCGCCGTATGGAACTTGTTTCTTGACCACAGTAACCGATTGCAGTGCGATTGGCTTTTTCAATGTTTTGTTGTTTTTTTATTTAAAAATAAAACGGGTCAATGCAGTTCCAATAAGTAATTCATAGTCGACTGAATGATTTTATATTTTTCTATAAAATAACCGTTTTTTCATCGCGTTCTAAATGGCCATCTATTAATGCTTTTGTTCATGGAATAGCTTTTTATACGCATAAAAGATTTTTTATAATTATGTTCATTAGTTTTTTTAAATACTCTATTATTGGTTCCGTTTAGCTTACGATTCTCTATCATTGTTAAAAGAATTATTATGAGTAATGGAAATAGCGTTTATTGTTCGGATACATTAAAATAATGAATCAAGAACTTCTAGATTTATGTTATAAAAGTCTAGACTAATAATTCATATTTATCTGGGGTATATATATTTGCCGGAGTCCCAGTATTTAATATCGCAACATTCGATGCGTTGCAGTCGAGGAAGTTTATTACATACCCACCTAAAGGTGGGTTAAAAAACATAAGTATACTCGTAAGTGCTTGGTTTACATTATGCCAGTGTCGTAGGACAGTTGCGCTAGCGTGGATTATTTGGATTCAGTGACGCCAATTAGCGTCTACATTATGCCAGTTCTGTGTAGCGCTGACTTGAGCGTTTATGTTCAAGAGTATTTTCATAATGTTAAAAAGCATTTATATGTGATTATGTTGACAACTTAAAGCATAATAAATTCTTATATCTTACTAATATTATAAATGCGGAAGCTCAAATGGATGTTTGTTAGTTTGTAGCCTGAACTGATGAACGGATCTCGATGAAAGGCATATGGACAGTCTGGATGAACGCATAGGCTAACATTTTTTTAATTTCACACATACGAAGTCGCAGGCAAAAGCTAGTAATTAAATAATTACTCAAAAGTCAAGAGACAGTAATTGGCGGGTACTCAAACTTACGTCATAGAGTAATAAAAACTGGAGTGTTTTTTTTTAATATTTCAGGCCAACGATTTTAATTAACCGAAATGTTTCTCGGACGCTACGTTGGAGTTACGTGAATTATTAAATTTGCATTAAAAATGTTGTTTAGGTTAGTTACGCGTATTTTTATTAAATCAAGCAAAGAAGCGCTTTATGCTGTACTAAGAGCTAAAGTTTTAGCTTCCTTAAATTTTATTTCTGTCGCTTTAAAGCGGAAAATAGTTTGTTAAAGTTTATATCAAAATAATGGCGACATCTATTACCTGTTTGGCATACTTAATCATGTCTTGGCTTTGTCTATTAAGAAAATAAAACAGTCTATGGCCAACCTCAAGCGTGTTTCATTATAGTTTGCAGTAAATTTTTATCGTAACGTTCTATTAAAGAGATAGTTGAGTATGTATGGGTTTAAATTGAAAGCTATGCAATTAAAAATATGTCAGGTAAATGATATTTTATAAATATGACAACTTTGTGGTATTAACTTATGTTTCTGAATGTGAATGAATATGGGTGTTAAATTCTTTATTGAAATTGTAATAAAACATGTACTTGTAGCTTGGTGTTTTATTATTAAACTAGCTGTTCCCATGCGGATTTATCCGCAGGTAATTTTAAAAACTTCAATTTATCAATTGCAAACGTCAAAATGACATGAAATGATGAGAATCCATGACAATCTTGCTTCCTTGATGTTGGCAGCAACTTATGGTCTCTTAGCCACATTAAGTTTTTATCCAATTTATTTACCAACTAAGTTTAATAGCGTATATAGCCTAAAGCGTGAAGTAAGTGTAGAGCTTTTTATTAAAAAAAGAATTATTCAAAAATATGTTGTAATTGCTGACATCTTAGGCAACAAAGAAGTGTGTGTTTACGCTTTATTATAATAGTATAGATAACAACAAATAAACATAAACAACTACGCTCGTTAGCCTACGTTCCATAAGTTCGATTGCGAATGATACGAAATTTCAATTTAAATTCCTCGCAGCCTGTTAGCTCACAATCCTATGTTAAAATATGTACATACGTGAGTTAATTTTCTCCCATAAATTGTCACGTGTGTCGACCGGCTAAACCGCATACGAACGAATATCGCTCGATTTCAATAAAGTGCAAATTCGAACGACATCGCAATAACCCCCTCGTTGCGCGTAGAGGAACGTATTCCGAATTTTAAAATTCCGTCTCCGTTCTAAATTCTCACAGATTTCGCGATATACGTACTAGTTGAACAGTGTATTGACCTCATGGTGTTCAATATAAGTTGACCCCTGTTGCAATGGTCACCGTGACTTATCCGAGATCTTAGTAGATTATGCTGCGTGTATGGAAATCAGAAAAATTGGCAAAACGCCCGCTGCCTCGACGCCCGCTTTATTTTCGCGACGTTAACCGCATTTTAATGAATCTTTTCGTGGAAAAAATAACCGTCTAGATGGACCCCGCATAATTATACTCAATGACCGTGTTTACGTAAACTTAGTGCTGTAAAAGCTTAAGCCATTAGACGAGAAAAAAATATATTTGAATTCATTGCCCGGTGTACAGTTGCGGACATCCGCGATGTTGTACTTACTGCCATTGACTTCAATTGCCATATTCATTTCAGCTAAACAAACTCCGCACCTTCCTAAAAGAACTAATTAAATATCAGTGAGTGCAATAAAGGGTTAATAATAAAAAGAAACAAATCATGTATCATTAATAGACATTTTTTGCGTACAGACACGTTTATAACCGCATTGTATTGGTTTTTATTCCGCGTCTTGTTTAAAATTATTCAATTGTAACTTTTAAAGTGGAACAACAGTTTTCCCGACTGTACCTTAGTGGTATCCTGAAATTAAACAACGAAATCTCGTTATCTTACGCACAATAGAATTTATAATGTAATACATAATATTTTTTAGATTTTTAGCTTTCGTCAGCGACTCTAAAAAAATGGATTGAAAAAACAAAACGACTAGCACATGTGTTCTTCCAGACTGTCCTCGACATCTATACCAAATTTTATCGAAATCTGTTAAGCCGTTTAGGCTACAAACTCTAACAAACTTCCATCCATCTAAACTTTCGCATTTATAATATTAGTTTGATTTGGAAGTATAATTTTAAAGTATGCTTGTTCTCTATGGATAATATTTTTTTTTAAGTTTCAAACCGTCTTCAACTGAACGCCCCACTTCAATAAAGAATTTGTAAAGTTCAAGCAGATTTGTTCCACTTTTAAAAGGCGCCGGGCATTTTTAATTATCCGGCGTGAAAACTTTCATACTATTATATCTAAATACTGACACAATTATAGTCTGTTGCTAACTGTTTAAAAAAATCGCATTCTAATTTCAAATCATTGTATTTTTTTACGAGAAAACAAAATAGCTATGGATACTCGTAATTCGGAGCAGAATGGATGTTCCATATTTAAACTTCGATCCTAAAATATAACGGAAACACGCGGTTAATTTGTTTTGGTTCGCGTAATAAAATTAATGTCGGTACTAAAAAATAAATCGGGATTGGGGACCGTTAAATCGTGAGATGTTAAAACTTTCGGTAGGAACGTTTATTTGCTTAAAAGATTCCGCCTTTAAAAGACCTACTAAAGATAAGAAATTGACTCTTGAAAGATGAATTGTCTTTTTCGCAACTTGAATGATTTAGAAGTCTGAATTACTTGTCGAAGAATAAAATAATCGATTTAGTTTTGTAAAGAAATATAAAGATTTGGTACTAAGGGAACAAGATTAAATGTCTTGTGTCCAGATTTTCGCCGCAAATATTAGAATTCCAAGCTGACCGTTTCCAACTTGACGTAGCAAAGACACTTTTATTAAAGTCTAAGTGTATTTAAGCGCACGTTTTACGTAACTTAGATTCGGACCGAAACCGAAACTCATAGACTATTGCTATATTTTTATTTTTGTTACATAAATAAATAAATAAAATAAAAAAGTCTTTTATTCCATGCCATAGTTTACAAAAGTTTAAAAAAAAATTGAATGGTACATGTCTAATTATTGTCATTTATAGATTTATTACATACATATATATTAGATTAGAAAAAAAAATTTTTGTTACATACAAATATAAAAAGTTGTAAATGTTTGGAAATTTATTATTTTTAGTATGAAATGTATGATGTGCCCTTTGTTTAAAGGGTCCAACCTAATACTGGAACGACATTTAAGTATGTAACATCGTTTTAAATATTAAAATTACATTAAAATCTTGACGTCTGTCTGTAAGCTGCGGTTACGAAGTTCTGTGCGTTTCAAGGATTATTTCCAACTGTCACCCCGCTCCCCCACGTGGAGACAGATTAGAATAAAAAGTTTCATCCGTCCCATCTTTTACGGTGAGGGGACGGTTGGCACTTATTTTATTTCATAACGGTTCCATCAGTCACCTTATTGGTGATAGTGGGACTGAAAGGTGGGATGGATGAAACACTTTATTCTCACGCGGTGACAGAGCGGGGTGATGGTTGGGAATAATCCCGTTTCAGAATACGGCCGTATATCGGTTGTAGATTAATTCCACAGGTATTGTTTGTTAATAGATGTGTAACTTAAATACTTGTTTGTTTTCGCAGACCGCCGCAGCACCACGGCGCGGCGCTGCTTGCTGGGGTCGGCAGCGGGGCGGTGCCGTCGTACGCGCCCCCCGGCCGCGCGTTCTTCACACCCCCGTTGCCGCCGGAGTATAGGAACCCATTTGCTGATAAGCCGACACTACGAGGTCAGTATACATTTAGCAAGAAACTATTCAACTACCTCACTTAGGATGGTTAAGTGTTAAGGAAGGCTTATAATGTAAGATTGAGGACAAAATTAATGATGTGATTGTGTTTAAATCTTACTGGTTTCCCTTAAGTATGAACCTTAAGTTTTTTTTAAATATAAATTTGTATCACTATATGATAATTTATATATGTGCAGGCACAAATACGGACGGGAATAACTATCTCAACCGGCGACCCATCCCGCCGCCCTCGCTGGGGCCGGGACATGACAGGATACCAATCAGGCCGCCGGGACAGGTAAGAATCATGCCATGTGTTAAAATCTTCCACTCTAATACTGTTTCAAAGTATGCTAATATACATTTAACACCTACGATGCTATTATAATGCTTAATGGATGGATTAACATGTTGAGAACGTGATAAAAGGTGATGACCACCAAAACTATGATAAATTGCAAGTTACAGAAAGTTTAGGTTAAATTTTCCAAACAAACTTGCGTCTCTTCCGATCTCATAACTAGATAATAATGTATTCATATAAACTACGAACTTAGCCAAATATTTTATGTGATTTTCAGGAAACTTCGTCCCCGCAAGTCCCGGCGCCTCCCCCCGCGCCGCCCGCGCCGCCGCCCGGCCTCGAGCCGCAGAAGAAAAAGCCTCTTAACACACCCAGTCATAAGGTCGGTATTTCCTTGAATAGAATTATACGAAAGTTTAAACTCGATTCGTTATCCAATTTGTAATGTTATAGGACTAACTGGTGCATTCAGAGACCTTTAGTAGTCACTTAAACAGCACCTTAGTGTAGATTTCCTGGTATACCTGTGGGTACTTTTATATTTTGTTTTTGTACTAGCTTTCGCCCGTACCTAGGTCGGCGTGGGATTAAAAAAAACAAAAGTAAACAACCTACGAGTTCTTTCAGACCATCACGCAATTTTGCGCTACAAACTAAGACATATCCGTCTAAACTTTCGCATTTATAATATTAGTAAGATTTGGTTAGTTTCATTTATTAATTGATGTATTTTCTCATTGCAGCCTGACGAATTAGATGGCGACATCAAACATGGCACAGATCAAGCTAACTTCACAGACTTCGTGCCGAACTCGCTCAACATCCCGACTATATCCAGGATATTGTCGGGATCCAACGGGAGGAAGGAGGACATCCCTGATGTTCTACTGCGGACTGTCACCGCGAAACCACAGCACCAGCCTGAGAAGACTTCCAAAAGTGACGTGTTTGTGACTAAAGACACAAGTGTTACCCTCAGTGATACAAATCGAGACTCCTCTACCGAAGGGTCAGTGTTAGCTGTTTTAGATCCAGAAATGAATATAGATCGACCCTTAATCATAGATCAGAATGGAGAAACTAACACTAGGAGAAACCTACAATATTCAACTAATAAAGAGAGGAATGATACTAGAAATGATTATATGCCAGCGACGACTATTGGCTTCGAATTAAAAGATCCAGAAATGTCCACGGAGAGATATCATAATCTAGCAAACGTGAATTCTGATAAGAAAGTATTGAAACAAGACTCTAAAAACAATGGCCCGGTGCAACGACCCGGCGCCACCTGGCCCTTCGCTTGGAATGTCCATATTTACTTAGCCACTGTTATGTTCACAATATTAGCTGTTTATTCAATATTCAAAATAATCTGCTACAATAAGTTTACACATCTCTTCACGCAGTATTATTTCATAATATTACATTTGATTTTAGTTTTCGTTTGTCTAATGAGGATATTTTATCTTTGTTACGATCCTTACAATATTAACAATTCTCTGCCAATATTCATAAGTGAAATATTACTACATGTTCCGGAAATATTCTTAACAATTGCATTCGCTAGTACCATTCTGTTCCTTATGACCAATAGTGCGAACTACAGGAATAAATGTTGTTCCTTCTTATTCCGCTCTCGAAGCATCATCGTCGGCGGCGGAGTCCTCCTCCTTACTTGTGTAACGTTGCATATCTTTGAAAATAGTAATACAATATATAGGACCCCTCAGGGAGTCGAAAAAAGGGTATTAGGACTTACTTGTCAGATAATATTTATAATAGTATGCCTTATTTTGGGACTGTGCTATCTTTATGTATATAAAATGCTAAAAGCCATTCTTCAGAAGAAAAGTCACAATTACATACATGGTTTCCAGAATCTCTATCAAGGGATACATATAAATTTGGCTACCGCGTTGCTGTTTGTATTAATGGCGACTCTACAGATATACGGGATAATAGGAATCAATCAAGTCAGCATGACCAAATTCGATTGGCTGCAGTGGGGATACCAATTCTCGTTGCGACTCATAGAAATAAGTGTAGTAGCACTTATTTCGTGGGTCATAAGTCTCAAAATCGGAATCGTAGCATCACTGCAACACGAAAAAGGCGATGGACAAAAGATATCCGGTTTCTTCCCGTGTACCGCCGGCTCTAGTAACGAGCAATTCGAATCCGATTATCCGACTATATGCAACACTAACACAAACCTCAAGACGTACACTTTGAGAACCGGGAAACCGGTCTACGAAACCGCTGGACATCACCCGGTGATGCCAGAACAATGTTTCGGTGCCAACGTCATGGAGCATCAGAGGTTCCAATTGAGCACGTTGGCCGGTAACTGCGATAATAATTCGGGTACCGAGAACTACTCTGGCCACAGTTCCATCGCTAATGCCGGCCACAGCAGTTCTACGGAGTCTAGCAACGCCGCCTCCGGCCAAGGTGTGACCAACCATTTGATCAAACATCATCCAAACATGGCCGGTTACAACGGTATAGAATCCGCTTCGGATGACCACTACTCCAACTGTGACCCCGCCATACAATCCCTCCAGGGCGACGATCCCTTAGACCACGAATACAATGTCATCCAATACGGCAGCAACAGTGACTTTATCCGTGATATCAAAAATCAAAACTACAACGGCGGCTCCAATAGAAGTTCCCATAATTTCAAACACATGTCCTACGATAGAGTTTCCTCGCGAACGAATAGTAATCCACGTAAAAAGCACAGAGCTAAGAACAAGAACGTTCAGAATTGCATGACGATGGGTTACGATCCCTCTATGAATCACCACTATCACCAACCACATATGCCTGACGAGTACAGCAATTATAACGCGGAGAACGCGTCTTACCATTCCTCGGGGATACAGACCCTCAACCCTAACAGGAGTTACGAAGCCCCCTGTCAACAAATTAGGAGCTCCCAGCGTCGGAACTCGCCTTCCACCGCTATGGTCAATTCTAGCGGGAGTCAGAAACGAGGTAAAGGGAATGGGTTCCCAGATCGACCTAAATCCACAGATCTATACGGATTCTCAGAGGATCCTAATGATAGGGCATACCCTTGTGCGTTAGGTACACCACAACCTGCGCCTAGGAATTGCAGCTATGAGGCTTCGTACTCTCAACCACAAGACGAAATTAACCCGAACGAAGGCGGGGGCAGTATGCTTGTAGCTCAAGACGGCTTTGTCCGATTCCGACCGTTAGAAGATGGTCACTCGCAGACCTGATTCACAGTCAGTCTGTCTTACGAGACAGAGAATCTAAATTTCTAACGTACATTTCACGTGGAACTCGTGCATCTCATTGTATAGACATTGTAAATTGATAGATAGGTTTAATACGGGATCCGTTTAACATGCGATCCTATTATAACGGCCTTTTGTATATAGCGTTTTTTTTTATTCTAAGGCCCTGTTTATTTAAGAAGTTTCTTTGACTGAAATGCCATTTTGTTAACTAGATTGTCGCGTTTATCATTTATGATATGGCCAATGTGAAATTTAATAAACACTTATGGCAAAATAGCCAATTGTAGTGATTTGCAGTTTATTATTGTTGTAATTTTCATAATTAATCGACATTTCTAAATCTATTTAAACATTAAGCTGATAAAATAAATTGTATCATAACAAATTAATTACAAAATATCAATTGAACAGTTCTGTTTAAATTATTAACTCTTCATAAAACCAGATGAATAAGTACATTTGTCGCTTCTGAAGTTAGCAGATATTGAAAATTGAACAACAGAACATACATCTTTCTCTGTCACACATATCGATGTTGTGTTCATCTCACTCTCGCATTCCTTATTCCGTAGCTAACTTCAGGTATAATAGTATATAATAAAATAAGTTCTCAATGCGGTTAGAACTGTTATTTCTTTCTTTTATTTATTGTATTCCTTGTGATCTTGATTTGTTAAAAAATTATTTGCTTTACAATCACTTTAATATTGTGTTGATTTATTTTTTTGTTTAAAATAGCAATTTTGTGATTGGTCTATTAAAACGCTTTTTATATCAGATAGTTACAGATGCTACCATATGTAAAAATTAAAATTTTGCATTAACTTTTGTCAATTTGGTACAATATAAGGAGTACAAGCAAAATATTTTAGAGATCGTCCATTATTTATGTGAAGTCCGAAAAAGGTTCCGAGAAAATCATTATGAGGGCAAGCATTACATTTGTCGTGTATTTAGATACTGATGTAATTGTAAAATTAAAAATAATAGAATTTAATCCAAGTACCTGTATTTAATATTTAGTTATAATATTCAGGAAACTTCAATTTGTAGTAAAAATACATTTAATTATGGTTATATATTAAGTTGTATCTTGCCATAACTAATAGTGGAGGGGAGGGGGTCAAAAAACACATGATTAATGGACGACTTCTTTACTAAAATAATTAAATTACTTTTCCCTAGTCAACACAATAACCCATGGTATTTCATTCCTGCCATTATTTTTATATAATAATTTGTAATTAAAAAATGCAGCTTTTGTAATTGTTTTTAGAATCAGAATCTATGATAGAAAGTAATTTTCATTCACACAGAATATTTATGTAGTTAATGTAACACGAAAATGTTAACAGACGTTTTATAACTTATAGAAATATGTGCTCTTAGTAAAATATCTGATTTAAATAATTTTCTATAAAAATATAAATCGACTGATAAAAATGTACTTATTAATACCATATTTGTAAAAAAAAATCAAGTCGATGTCTATGTTTTATTTTCTGTGGAAATAAACAATTATATTTTTGGTAATGCTTTGGTAGTTTATAGTAAGGTTCCAAGCAAATTACTAAATGTTTGTGTACTAAGAGCATATATCGTAATAAATGTTGGCACTTCACAATAGATAGGTAAAAAAAGAAATAATTGTATAGATTAGGTGATATACTAAAGAATATTTATAATTGGCAAAACACGGATTAAATAAAATAAAAATAACTGCATTATTATTGGCACTGACTAATTTTGGGCCCTTTAGAGTAAATGGTTTAAAAAAGGGCCCGAAAGTAGTCGGTGTAATACATAAATGTAGGGGTTTTTATTTAATTTTTATTATCACTTGAAACTGTTATAATTATTATGATAAGTGGCAATTTAACTCAGTGCTCATATAATTGTAATTCCTATGTAAATAAAATTGTATTAAGTATGGTAGTGCACCATAATGCCACGGTTTTTTTAATTTTATTTACTTTAGTTATATAAGTGTATATAACGGGAGACATAGTTACGCCCGTACAGGACGCATTTGTTGTATATTATATATTTTTTTCTTTAATATTTTCAAGACTGTACCTATCTTTATCATTTAACAAAACTGACATTTACTATGTATAAAAATAAAAAAAGGGATTAAAATTTATTTGTGGTTTTATTGATTTTATCGTTGATGTTCATTAAATTTTACCGATTCGTGACTACAAAGTAAAAAAAGATTTTTATAAAGAAATCTAACTATACTTACCGAAAACAAAATGAAGATATTAATGTGTCTAACACAATGGTATAGTTGCCTTACGAAAACCCATCTATGGACAGGTATTATTTTTCATATTTGCGATACGAATATTGCGTAAATTTCGGACCTTTGACCTGAGCACTTCATTGTGGATGAAGCTAAAATTTTAACTTTATGTACTTACTACTAGATGATAGAAACTTTAAATCTTGGATTTAGTCAATTAAGTCTATAGATGAATGAAAAATGGATAGCCAATAAAATTGGAATAAAAACGAAAGGCCGAAACATAATAGAACCTATGAAAAAAAATAAAATACTTTAGTCCAAGATGTGAAAAGAAAAAAATAAAGATACACGCTAAGATTTGCCAAATGTAAAACAGGCGTTGTGTTCACATGCGGTCATACGTGGCACATCGAGAGTTACAGCCTAAGAGATTTACCTTGAATTAATACAGACTTTTGTAGTACAAAAGCTCGCAATCTTAAAATTTAATCGCCAAGAAACATCTACCGTCCAGATTTCTTCATAAACCTGAAAGAAAAGCCAGAAGATAGGGAATGGGTGTAAAGAAAACACATATTTGATGTAAAAATTACATTTCCCCAAAAAAGAAAGATAAGTTACAAAAAGAGATACCACCAAAAACATGAAACGTAGAAAACGCTTCGTAACGTAAGTATTAAAATTATTCTAGTCGTTTATTCCCATTTGTTATACATTTTTGTAACGAGAGACATTACGAACCTTGGCGTTTTTACATTTTATGTGAGATACTATTAGTCCATAACAAACATTAAATTATTATACACTTACAAAATAATGTATAGTAAATAAATTATTTTATTATAATATATACAAATAAGTGTAAACATTTACAAATTTAAATCATTCAAATTTCATACAATTAACAGATTTTCACAAATAGTTTTTTATAATATTTAAACTGTGAAGAAATGTTACAAAAAACATGTTAAAAATCTTATTATTCATGTTAAGATTTATGCCATCTGTTAACGAAAAGAGCAAACTACATAAACTAATCTGGGGAATAAGTTACAATCTTAGATAATAGATGGCGCTATTTTACATTTAGTTTGACCTTTTTCCAATCATAATTAAAAACATTTTTTTTTGTCTTGGAGCTTTTCCTAATAAGATAAATCAACACACTCATAATTTTCACTTCACAGTAAATTCTTTACAAACATTTTAAAACAAATTTGTAAATATACAGTCAAAAAAACTTATCTTGTAACTTGTTACAAAATGTCCTAAAACATAAATATATCTTAAATTAATTGTAAAATTATAAATACCAGGTACATATAATAACAAATATACAAACCTCTTAAATATTAAATTGGATAAAATGTTTTCCATAGCAAAAATATACTTTTGCTAGAATCAGTACCAACATGAAAACATTTTTAACAATATTGTTAATGGAAAAGTATAATTATGTACTAAAACATCAAAATCGATAAAGTCAATTGTTTGTAAAGACAAAAATATTTAAATTATGGAAATTTCCCCTAACTTTCCAAGTCTATTAAATTCATTACTTAAAATCAGTTGAGTTGGCACGTCGCGTAGAAGACTACTCTTGTTTCTGACGTGCCAAGTGTCAATATATTATTTTTTCCCATAAAAATCCTCTTTTTTCGTGTTTATTGTCACTATAGTCAACATTTTCGGTACTTCCAAGGTCCTGCCCTATTCAGGTCACAAATCAAATATCTCAAATACGTTAATGTACTGTCATATATCAAATTCTTCAATTTTCTTTTTCCTAGCTGAAAATTGCTCACCTAATAATTTCATTACTTCTGCATGTGATTTCGTACCATCTTTTAAATTACCGTAGTTTTCTTTAACAAATAAAGCGAAGCCATTTGGACCAGTTTTCCTCGCGGGAGTCGACACGACGACGCCATCTTTGTTTTTTCTGTTCACAATAACCTCAAAAGTTCCATGACAATAACCGCAACACTTTTTTGTCACATCAATAGATTTCGAATGGCGTTTTATGCTGGAATGAAAAAACCTTGTTAATCATACTAATATTATAAACTAGCTTTCGCCCGCAACTTCGTTCGCGTGGATTAAAAAAAAACTAAATTGAGTAGCCCACGAGTTCTTCCAGATTATCCTCTACATCCATACCAAATTTCATCGAGATCCGTTCAGCCGTTTTGGCTACATACTCTAAAAAACATCCATCTAAACTTTCGCATTTATAATCTTAGTACAAAGTATGATGTGAAAGTCTAGATTAGATGGATGGACGTTTGTTAGAGTTTGTAGCCTAAACGGCTGAACGGATCTCAATGAATTTTGGTATGGATATAGAGGATACTCTGGAATAACACATAGGCTACTCACTTTTGTTTTTTTTTTATTCCACGCGAACGAAGTTTCGGGCGAAAGCTAGTATTTCATAATAATGGCGTAAAGGGAAGCCTAAGTTAGATGCCCCATGACCTGAACTAGGTGAAGACCTAGCTTAGGTCATCAAAGTTAGTTTAGCTTAACTAGTATAAAAATCATTTTATTTGTAGTAATATTTTTATCTATTTTTAGTTTCTGCCTCTTGGGCATGCTTTAAGGTATTTTGGGGGAGCAAAAACTGTACCTTTAAACCCCCCGATTTACCGTTAAAATAAAAAAGCAAAATAGTGTTAGTAAAATTTCTTATTTTTAGAACTAGGCATACCAAATTGTTGGTAGTAATAAGTCATAATTTGGTATGCCTAGTTTTATAAAAATTGAACTGAAGCGATTTTGATTTTCCCTCATAAGTAGATTTTATTCCTTTAACAGTTTTACTTGAAAAATGACCGGTTTTAAATTTAACATGTGATTCAAACGTAAAAACCTGAGATAATAATAATTTTAAACAGTAAAAAATTGGCGAACTGAAAATCCCAATTGATTATTTCTTTTTCATAATCAAATTACCTATAAAGATTATAGATAAGATGTCAATCGAAAAAAAATCAGATTTTAAACGATTCTATCTTTTTTTAAAAAGTTCAACAAACCAATAAAATGTTAATAATTATTATTTACGAACTTTCGCCCGCGAATCCGTCCGCGTGGTATTAAAAAAAAACAAAAGTGAGTAGCCATGTGTTCTTCCAGACTATCCTCTACATCTATGCCAAATTTCATCGAGATCCGTTCAGACATTTATGCTGCAAACTCTAACAAACATCCATCCATCCATCCAAACTTTCACATTTATTATATTAGTAAGATTTCATTATAAGTGTTTGTGGAAAACTCAAGATTCAGGAGTGCCAAATATTTAATAAATCTTTACAAAATATCGAAATATTTGCAATTTTGCTAAAAAATCCTAGACGAATTACAAACATGCTGTATTCACAATTTAACGGTGACATACAATACATACCTGTATCCACATTTAGTACATTTGTAGCAATACTTGAAGTATATCTCCATGTCGTGGCAGCGCGAGATCTCTCCCAGCTCGGGCAATAACTTCAAAGCGCGCGTCGCCCTGCAAAATTACATAAAACATACATACAGTAAAGTAAAAGAAGTATTAAGATGAATTGCTAAAATAATAAAAGAAACCCTAAATAGTTTTTTTTTCACTGTCATCATTTCATAATTTACTTTATGTGTATATCTTAGACAATGTATTATTTTGCATTGCGCTGATTTATTGGTCTAAAAGGAATATTGTGGTAAAGTGTAGTGTAGTGCATTGTAGTATGTATTGTAGTAAAATGTACTGTAGTTCAGTGTAGAGTAGTGCAATGCAGTGGAGTGGAGTTCAATACAGAATATACCATTCTGAAGAGAAGTGTAATTCAGGGCTATGCTGTACACAGCATAGCCGCTACACTATGCTACAGCATAGTGTAGCGAATGTAGCTCAGAGCAGTACAATCCAGTATTGTGCAGTGTGGTGCAAAGCATATAGTAAAATGTAGTGTAGCGCAGTATATTGTAATGTAATTCAGAGCAATGTAGTGTAGTGTAGTATAGTGTTGTGTGCAATGTAACGTAGTGCAGTATAGTGCAATTCATTGTAGTGTAGTGTAGTGTAGTGTAGTGTAGTATAATGAAGTGCAGTATAGTGTAGTGTTGTACAATGTAGTGCAGTGCAGTGCAGTATGGTGTAGTGTAGTACACTGACCACTTCTTCCAGAGCGGGCCGTGTCCGGCGCGCAGCTCGCCGTCCAGCAGCCAGGTGGCGGCGTGGCACAGCTCGTGTATGAGCGTGTCGCGCAGGCGCTGCGGCGCGTCCACCACCTTGCTGGACAACTTCACGCTGGACGTGCGGATGCGGTCGCCTCGCGCTGTCTTCAGCAGTCGGTTAGTTGTCGTACTGGAATGTTACGTACAGTCGTGTTAAAGGGCTACTTTGTCGATGGGTAATTCATGAACTCTTATGTTAATATGTCTTGTATATTGAATTGTTACTTTATTATTTAAACCGTTATTTGAATACATTTTTATAACCTATAACTATCTTTTAATTAAAATGTGAACTGTGCAGTGCCAATATAAACATTGTATGTTTAATGGCACAAAGCTGTGTCAAGACAATTATGTCAAACTGTATTTTGTTGAAATAAATCTAAAAAAAAAATATACAGATATTTGATGGCTAGCTGCTCCTCGCGTATCGTGCGCATCAACATGATCATGATCTATGTTACTCACTGATACATAGCTTTTAATGGTGAAAGATTTTTTGAAATCGGCCCAGTAGTTTTTGACTCATTTCAAAACAAACAGAAATCCAAAAATACAAATCTTTCCTCTTTATAATATTAGTACAGATACTACGATTAAAAGTTTAATCACAACAGTTTGCTTTTTTTTAAATTATACATTACTAGCTTCCGCCCGTGACTCCGTCCGCATGGAATTAAAAATGTAAATAGCCTATGTTTTCTTTCCAGATTATCCTCTACATCTATGCAAAATTTCATCGAAATCAGTTAAGCAGTTTAGGCTACAAACTGTAACAAAAATCCATGTACACTTCCGCATTTATAATATTAGTAAGATATATTTTCCTTAAAGTATTAAAATACAACAATACCAATATGTAACAATAAATTCTACATTTTTCTTATGATAATTTAAAATATAAATGTACGATAAGGAGGTTATAAGAGGTTAAACGTGTTTCTTTTTAATATGTTTTCTTTTTAATTGATTTCGAATTTTACATTTTGACGTTCGTGTAAAATTAGTTTTAAGTTGAGAGACAGATAAAAAAGAGGAACGACGATGTATAAAGATGTGTTTTGGAAAAAAGTAAATTGTAAATATTAAAAGTAGCAATAAATTGCAAGTTTATTTTATTTTGATCGAGCCACAACCCCACATAAATAACAATATGGTCGTTACAGAATTTAATGATCCACTGTTTTTAACAATAGAAATTAAATATGTGAAAAAATTGCCTTATAGTTAAAAAAAAGTACAATTAACTTTTTTTTATCTTACCCCGCAGTACTCCTAAGCTTGGTATCCCATATGATTGGTAAATCAGCGTCCAAAACATTATCAAATACAATTTTATTGAAATCTAGGAACAAACGCCGCGTGAGTTGTTCACGTAATGACTTGAAGTTGTCTCGATATTGTATCGCTTCTGGATGACATCTCCACGAAGGCACATTATCTGAAATAAATCAATAATGATACTTATTTTTATGCACAAGCTTTCACCCGCTACTCCTATGCGTGGTTTTAAAAAAAACCTAAGTGAGTAGCCTATATGTTCTTTCAGACTGTCCTATTTCTTTGCCAAATTTCATCCATATCCGATCAGTAGTTTAGGCTACAAACTTCAACAAACATTTATCCATCTAAAATCTCACATTTATAACATAACGAGCTGTTGCCCGCGACTTCGTCCGTGTGGTATTAGTAAACATACGAACTATATAAATTACCAATAGCTACGTATCCCTCGGGAACCGGACATTTCTCGGAGATGAATCTTATCCCATGTGTACTCCAGACTTTGTTTTATATCTGTGCCAAATTTCGATAAGATATGTTGAACCGTTGCAGAATGATCGAATAAACATTAAAAAACTAAATTAATGAATCCCACGGGAACCGTAACTATTCCCGGGATAAAAAGTAGCCTATGTGTTCTTCCAGACTATGCTCTAAACCTGTGCCAAATTTCATGGAGATCCATTCAGCCTTTAGGCTACAAACGCTAACAAACATCCATCCATCCATCCATCCGTCCATCCATCCATCCATCTAAACTTTCGCATTTATAATATTAGTAAGAAGTAAGATTATTATTACCATAATAAAAATAACTATATAAAAGTAAATACCAAAAATACAGTAAATTTAAATCTGGAGTAGATTTTGTTAAATCATTAATTTAAAAAGTATTTAAAAATAACTTTGCTGTTTTGTTTTGTTGTTTAACATTATTGGTTTCTACTAAAAGCTATTTTATAAGGCTTATGTTTAAAAAACAAGATTATTTTTAATTATTATTGCGAACCCACACACAGTGACAAATATGCAAGCGGTTATTATAATTCGCCAAAATAGCGAAGCGACTATTGACTATAGATATCCATATTGCAGGTTCCTAACTTTGTTGTAAGAGGGATGCATAAGAAGAGGAAATATCCATTTTCTGTGCATCCCTCCTACATCAAATATTTCCCTTCCCACCTTTTTCCTTGTAAGAAATGGGTTCCTTACAAGACAATATATTTAAGATATAATAACAAATATGTAGACAAAAATTAAAACTATCTCACCTGCTAAAGATGCAAGGAAACTAAGTCTATTGACAGCCAATTCTTTTGACGGTGTGATTTCAACGTTTTTAGATACACTTATATTTTCAACTTTTCTAGTCAAATTGTCAACATCATTTTTCATAACTTGTACTAATTCCGTCACTGATAGACCTTTCAATTTCTTTGTACTTGTATTCTTTTCTTTTTTCTTCGTTTTTGGTTCCGGTGTATTGGGTACAACTTCTGTGTACAATTTCTTTTTAAATTTCTTCTCTGTACTTAATTCTTTATTTATCTTTTTCTCAGATTCTGTTAAATATAATAATTTATTTTGTTTTATTTCTTTCCTTGTACTGGCTTTTTCACTGATAATATTATCAGCATCGTCGTCAAATAGCTTTTTAGGCACTATATTATGTTTTTCTTTTTTTAACGTTTTTAGAAGAGATGGTATGCTTTTCCATGTATCACCATATAAGTCATCAAGTAATTTCTTCTGTGATTGCTGAATTTTTTTCATAGAACATTCTTCTAAAGATTCATTAGCGATATCTTTCGGAGTTGATGGTATTGTTTCTTGTTTCGGGGTAACACATACTATGTTCTGTGATGGTGACCAACCATCAAAACTCGGTCTAGATTCGTTTAATGGTGTTGCCATATCTTCTTTTGTTGAATTTAATATCTGTAATAAAATTCATCATCAGCTATATATCCCCATTAAGAAGCTTGAATACCCTAAGTGACTAGACCTTAGACAATGCTAGGCCAGTGCATGTTGACTTTATACTTTAGATTTTCTTTACTGTAACATTGGATAAATTGAAATATGAAATTGGGAAATAGAAAAGCACTGATACATAACGATTGAATGATTCGAACCCAAGTACTGAAGCTATGAGCCACAGATAATCCTAACGTAAATTATAATTGAAAATTAGATTACTTATGAAGTACACTGTTTTCCTTCCCACCCTTTACTAATTAGGGTAGGGAGGGGAGTAATCAAATAGCTGCAATTCTCTGTATATCTCTACTGTCTATTACAAGGTAGTGTTATATTGTAATTTGTTGCATATATTAACAGAAATAACTAGATTTTAAGTGCAATCAAGCAGATATTTGTGGTAAACAAAAATAATGTAGTCTCAGAAAATACTTACATTTCCCGTCTTGCTGGGTTTAGTTTTTACCAGCTCTATTTTAGGTAACTTTTCATCAAACAGTTCACATGAATCATTTATCATAATTGGAGAATATATCTTCTTTGGTGATATCTGTACAATAGATAAAATATCAATCTGTACTAATATTATAAAGAGAAAAGAGTAGTACTTCTGTATGTATAGAAATAACTAAAAAACTACTGGACCAATTATAAAAATTCTTTCACCGTTAGAAAGGTAATTTGTCTATGAGTAACATAGGCTATGTTTTTATTATTTTTCAATTTCATGTGGACGAAGTCGCAAGCAACAGCTAGTTACATAGGAAGTGACCATTTATACATACATTGCAATAAATTGACTAGCTTTTGCCTGTAACTTTGTCCATGCATAATTAAGTAGCCTATGTGTTCTTCCAGACTATATTCTGTGTCAAATTTTATTGAGATCTATGATGTTCCGAAGATACCTTCTAACATCCATCCATCTAAACTTTTGCATATTATTGGTAAGATATAGAAGTGAACATTTCTTTTAAGCAGCAAGTTTGAAGCAAACATACCATATTATGTAAGGCAATGTACTGACAGATGTTACAAGTAATGTACAATGTTTGTACTAACTTTGTGAATACACCTCATAATGGGATTATTCCCAACCGTTACCCCGCTGTCCCCACTTGGGGATAGATAAGAATAAAAAGTTTCATTTGTCCCACTTTTGCAACAAGGGGATGGTTGTAACTTATTTTATTTCTAAATGGTTTCATCTGTCACCTTATTGGTGATAGTGTGACTAAAAGGTGGGATAGTTGTAACTTTTTTCTTGTCTGTCCCCACGTGGTGCCAGAGCGGGGTGACAGTTGGGAATAATCCTCACGTCAGTGAAAACCAGCTTAAGAATATAAAAAAAAACCAATATAGACCAATATTTATATAAAACATAACAAAAATAACAAACACAGGTGTAAAAGTTTCACATGAGTTAGTCAATATATTGAATTATTCCTCTCTCTAAAGAGATCAATCTCTCAAAATTATATTATTTTAGATGATAGACATTAGATGATTCAGATGATAGATATTATTAGGCTACAGATGATTGAAAAATTACCCTCCAAATAAATTTGTCACAGCAAAAATAAAAATATTTAGTTCCGACTAATACTATGGTTTTGATGTGATTAATATTATTACTTACATTGTTTTTGAATTCCATTTGTAATCTATCAAATGATTCGTCAAGAATGATAACATCCGAGCTTTGGTTTAGTTTTCTGGCAGCTTTTGCACTGTTTTCATGATTTTTCTTCAATGATAACTTTAGAAAACCTAAAAATTAGTACATAAAGTTAGAAGCTTCATAGATCGAAAACTAAAGCCAATTTTTTTATCTATTAAATTACTTACGATTTCTACTATTACTTTGCGTTTTGGTGTTCATCGTGTGATGTCTGTCGTGATTTTATTCTGTAATAATAAGATTATTAGATATTTCCAATGGAATTTATATTAATAAAGTTTTTGAACATTTAAAGCCGTTACACGACTTTAACAAGTTTACAATTTTGACAATTGACAAAATTGAAGGAAGACTGACAGCGAATCGACCAATGAGCGTATTGAAAATGTAGCCATAGTTAAAATAGTTACGATTTAAAGAAATATTAGTTTTCAGCAATGGGTACTTGTCTCCTATTTTCTCATTCTTTGGATAATGAGTTTGGGTTTGATTAAAGACATTTTGAACATAAAAACTTTATAATGAACGATGTTTGAACTTAAACGGCTGAAAGAATTATGATTAATCTGCTATTTTTTCATTTTATTGCTTGCTGATTTATTGGACAATTTTTTATTGATTTTCACCACTAGATGTCGGTACTTTCAGCAAATAATTTTTGACTTTGTAAAGTTTTTTTATTCCGAGTTTCTAATGGTATTGAAAAAAATAAATAATAAGTTCCACTTACTTTTAATCAGCCACAGGAAGGAGTGCCTTACTCCGGCATGACTTTAAAACATATGGGAAAATGGCTAGACTACTTTTTGACTACAACGGGTAAAGCGAATAATTCACCTTTATTCACACTATCCGCTCGACATTGTAAACATAAACAAATCGTAAATAAAATAAATAAAAAGTGTCCATTAATGGAAAATATAAACAAAAGATTTATTCAAGTGTTTTATTGACGTCAAACAATCATATGACAGAAATAAAATTAGAGATTTGATTTTTCTTACACGAGACAAATTCAATAACTCTTAGAACCTTGACTATAATAGTCATAAACAAAGCTATTTATGGGTCTGAATGGTTAATAATTAATTCATCTTTATTCTAATTATTTACTTCTTTTATTTAAACTAAAAACCACGGAATCAATGCAAATAAAATATTGAAAAAGGATACTTTTTTCATATCATAAAAGTTATTGCTAAAGAACCTTGTAGGAAAATTCCAATAACACGCGTTTAAAGTTTTTTCTTAAGTGAACTAAAAGTCTATTTTAAATTATTAAGCCTTTACTTCTACTATTAAGTCTATTAAGCCTAATTGTAAGTCACACTTAACATAGATTTTTTTAAACAAATCTAAAATGCGTTTTTTTTATCCTAGGCTAATTGTCGGCGTATCCTATGATACATAGGCCTATTCCAGCTCTTTCCATTCTTGGCTATTGTGCATTAAAAGCCTATAGTATTGTACAAAAACACTTTACTTTAGTCTCTTTTAAGAACAAGAGCATCTTGATCTTGCAAGACTTTTGTTTCCAAACACTAGAACAGAAAGTGGCTGTATAAAAAAAGATTTCGGATTTTTCATGAGTATTTAGGAGTATAGATTTTTAAAAATATTATATAGATTCAATTCATGATAAATACAACAGTGAATTTTATAACATAAAAGTATACAATAATTAAGTCAGTTATTAGTTTAGTTTTTTTCTTTTAATTGACAAATAGTACATTAGTAAAATGTCGTGATAAAGCGACTTTTGCATTCGAAAATCATAAATTATACGAATAACAATTTAAAGATAACAAGGGAACGACAGGCAATCTGTTTACCTATCTAAAAATAGATTTACGTTTGAGCGGACTCGTTTATTTATGTCCGATTTCACTATTCACCCTTGCCCTTAAAAAGTTAATGTCGCGCATGCGCGGGAAAACTTGCGCGTCTGTCACCTAGAAAATGGCGTCCATTTTACGAAAATAAAACACAATATATACGATTGCGGCTCTTGCTTTCAATGATATTGTGAAATTATACAATGAATATTTCACTTTAATTTCGCTTTTAACAAGGCTGAATTTGAAATTTTGTTACATCAATCTTTGAAAGTTAATTGACCATTTATGTGCGACCTATCGTTATAGCGCGCTCTCCTCTATTCTTCTGAATGTCAGTGCATTGCGAAGGGCGAGGGAGGTCTTTTAGTATTGGTCTCAGCTGTTTTTCAAAAATCGAATGCCGTGTCTTCCGAATTTGAAAGACATTAGGCAGTTTGACGTCAGTGTTTGTTGTGTGTAGACGGAGGTTTTGTGAATTCAGCCATGTAATGGTGAGTTAGTTACGAAAAAAAGTGTTATTAGACATTTAGTAAAGCCTAATTAGTGTTATGATTTTTTTTTTCGACGTGGAATGCATAAAATGTGCTTTATATAGAAGCGATTAGTGAATGTTGTGTGTAGGCGAAATTGATTTTTTTCGTTCCTTGCACAATTTTTTTTAGATAAATCTATGTTTTTTCTAAATTTTTCTTTTTGTAGTGTCTGAAAATCAATATCTGAACTGAGTTTTATGTGACCTTTAATGCCCACGTGGTTCTTATGTTAAATCTGCTGGAGAACTCAATTATCATGAAATATTACACATTTTTTTACCAATTTTGCATGTTACGTAAAAATATAGTTACGAGATCTTACAATATTTCTAACATTTTATTACATTACGTTTAAACCCACAGAAACCTATATGTTAACAGTTTATTGCATATATAAAAGTTAATTTCTTTGCATGCTGCATTTAATATAAACAAAATCTCATAAGACAATAAAGATCTTGTGGAATCTCTTGGAATAAAAGCCAGTAAATAACTTACTATCAGCCCTATTTAGGGGTTTAAATATCACCCCTTATTAAGGTAGGCTCCGAGCCCCTCGGTGGGGACATATAGTGAGCTGGTGATGAATGAAAATGATGAAAAAAAAATATCTTAAAAGGCTATAATAAAGCGTCGTATAAAACTTAAACTTTGCGGGTGTTTGTCTTTGACAAAACATGCATTTATCAATTATTTTTACTGGACAAATAAATTATTGACAGTTTTATTCCTATATTTTATATATTACAAATAGCTCAAAATATTTAAATACGCTGTTTAGCGATTGTGGTAATTTTTTAAACACATTTGACATGCGATTTTCTTGTTCAATTACTAAAATTAGTATTTCTTTAGATTAAAATCTTATCGAGATTAAGGTGTTTTTTAAAGTACGTTAAATTTAATGTTTAACTATACTTAGCGCTCGCTCCTTCGTCTGTATGTTATTTTTAAGTATTATTTTGGAAAGAGAATTTTCATTATTTTATTTCGATATACAAAAATGAAAACGGTAGAGATTACGAGATATGTGAAAGTTTAGATGGATATTTGGATGGATATTTGTTAGAGTTTGTAGCCTAAACGGCTGGACAGATCTCAATGAAATTTGGCATACATTTAGAGAATATTCTAGAACAACAAATAGGCTACTTGGTTTTGTTTTTTTTACGACGCGGACGGAGTCGCGGGCAAATCTAGTAGTTAAATAACGAAGAAAAATTGTGAGTTGAGTAAAGTCGCGGTTAATTGCTAGTTAATAATTTATTATATAGAATTTCATCTCCAATTACTAAACGAGGTGAAGTCCCTACTCTTTGTTGCAACCTTGGCGGTATCGATAATATCGATAGATGCAATCACTTTTATAATCTTTTCTAATCAAATGTACCACTTATAATAATTTAAGATGATTAAAAATCGATTTATTACTAATTAAAATGATTTTTATTGTATTTGACCTAGGTTGAATGTAATTGTTTTTTTTTATCTTAAATAGTTAAAGAGTAAAAGCAATATATATTTAAATATTCACGTTTTTTGTTTTTTATATTATAAGGTGGCAAAGGAGCAAGCGGCCACCTGAATACGCCAAGCTGGCAAAGCGAACGCTGCCCATAGACATTCACAATAGCGGATGCATTGCCCTTATCGACGGATGAGGAGACGCAAATGAAGAGGATATTTCCCCTTCCTATGCGTCTCCTCCAACGTCAAGTCCATGTTCCCTTCCCATCTTTTGTTCCAATCCAACTAATATTTTTGTTTAACGAATAAACTTAAAAATTACTGGACAGATTTAAAGAAATACTTTGCCATTAAAAGTGTGACCCGTTGAGCCGATAGGTCTAACGATCTATCGAATTATTTTTATAATCTATCGATGCAATCGGGCAAAAAAATCCCATTAGTTCCTTTGTTTTAATTGATTAAAAACTTTTGAAAGCAATGTTATCACTGAGTAATGATGTATTTGGGTTGCTGATAACGAAAATCGCATTTATTTTTTTTTGTCTGTCTGTACACAAGACGCGTTTGTTCCGGGTAATCTCCAAAACGGCTTACACTGAAGAACTGACAGACATGTATATTATAGGCAACTTTTTTTAACCTCAATACTGCGTTGACGAAGTCGCGGGCAACAGCTAGTTAAAAATAATCTACTGAAGTAGTTTAGGGACAAATAAGTAAGATTTTTAATTTAGTGTGTTGGTGTGATTTTTTGCTACAAAAAACTCCTTCGATTTAAGGGTTTAAAAGCCTCTGAATTTACTCTCTCGGAATCGAAATCTGAATTTTGACTTACGGTTTAATATTATTTTTTTTAAGTATAAGCGGATGTAATTTAAATTTTGTAATTTAAACTACGTCATAGGTCTTCCAATAATGTCGTTATCTTGAATACTTTTTCAACAATTCATAAAAATTTTTAGAATTTTAATGACTAAATACATTATTTTACTAGATGATTTATTTTCTTGTTATCGTATTGAGAGTAAGTTTTAACGTGTGTAATGTGTTTTGGGTAATTCGTCATAGCACGAAAATTCGTAAGGAAGTATCTGTCAGGTAGAAACTGACAAATCTACGAATTTTATAGATGTAGTCACGAATAGTTTTTCGTGGTTATGATGTGTTTGTATTGATGCGTTTTTATCGTATTTTTATTTGATTTTTTTAAAAGATATGGTGATTTTTACTCTTTGAAAAAATGTACATGTAATTGAAAGTTGGTTATTTCTTTATCTTTACAATCGCAACGTATTTTTATCGGAAATCTGTTACAAATACTTAGTACATATAATAACATGTTTTGGTAATTGAAAATAATCATATATGTAGGTACGCAACCGATAAGAAATATAAAATTAGACGTAATTTCGATAGTTATAAAATAATTATCTTGTACACTTATTAATTTATTCGATATATTTTTTTTAATAAA